CGAATGAAAGTTCGAAAAATATGAACGATACGTTTCGCGGTCATTCGCTCGAACGAATTTTCATCACTGTGATCGAGTGAAAAAAAAGGGGAAGAGAGAGGGAGAGAGAGAGAGAGAGCTTTTGTCTCTCAAGCGGCCATCACGCGGTCAAAGGGAGAGAGTTAGCCGAACAAAAAGGGATTTGGTTAACCGCACGAATGTGACGAGAGACGCAGCTGGACCGACGCAGCTGATATTTCAAATATTCCATTCTGTGACAACCACCAAGAGAGTAGGCTTCTGTCCCTCGGTGAGTTGCGGCCGCGGCTAATTTACATGACTTGCATCGGGCTAATTCGAGCGACGGTCGATAGCGTCGGCTAAAGGGGTTGAAACGATGTTTACTTTATTATGTAATCACAGGGAAATTCAATATTGACGGAGGCACGCCGAAAGCCGCTTTAAAGCGTCTTACCGCTCTTTTAAACTGCCCTCTTCGCCTCCTTGCTCCTTTTCGTTACATTAGATCGTTCGAGAAATATTACTCCGCGTCCGTCAAATTGACAATTACCTTTTGATTTCCTTGTCATTGAAACATCCAGGTGTGTCGAAAAATAGTTCTTCAAAGATTAAAGGAGTGCATTCTTGTTTTAAAATATGAACTTCTTCTCCCGGCTAACAATTTATAAATGCCATTTGTATAAATATGTCTGGTTTTGCCGCGGAGAAATCTTGAAAAACACTTGTTCCTTCGGATCACTTTCGTTATTGAATTGCTTGTCCTTCATATTGATTGTCCAGACTCAGAAACAAGTGAAAATCTATCGTCGAATATGGCGAGTAAGACCATAATCTCCCGTTCAAGTTCCACTATCTGAACTTTTCCCACTTCTAAACTAACACTCGTTGTCAATCAGAAAAATCTGTGGACTTGTGATCAACAAAAATCGGCTAATATATAGGTTTAAGACGCAAGAGTTTCCGATTCGTTATAATCAAGATCGTCGTCGAGAGAATCGAAATAAACAAGAAGAATGCTAACAGAAAGATCGTTCGATCACTGTTGTCGGGAAAACTTTCTGAATTATTACAACCAAGACGGTCGTTGGAAAAATTCGCGGACAAGCAAGATTATTGACAGAAACATACTTGAGTCCGTGTAAACGAGATTCGCAAACTTCTTCGAATCATTACAAATAAGATTATGAATATAATTTGTCTCGTTCATTTGCTTAGACAATTCCGCTGCCTTTGCTTTTCATTTGCCATAAACGAGAAAGATTAACGGAAATAAGACGCTGCGTTCAAAGCTATTTATTAAATAAGATAAATTAATATCTTCCGGAGGAGAAGTAGGAGGAGGAGGAGGAGGAGGAGGAGGAGGAGCGTCTCGAGACTCCATTAAGAAAGTCTGAAAGGACTCTCCAAGTCCTTAGGTGTCTTTAACGTTCCGGGAAAGAACAACTTCGGTCTCTCTGTGAACGAATGGAACAGGTTTATGAACGCGAAACTCTTGCTTCCGTGTTGTAACGTTCAACCGGCTGCTCTCAAACTCGCTCAATAACTCGTGCGGTCTGGACATTGATCTACAAAGTTCTCGCCACGCGTAAAATTTTGATACTCTCTCTCTCCTGTCGTTCTTTCCACGCCGCTGCACTTGCCTCGCTTCCCTCTATCCGAAGGCTCAGACAGACTTTATCTACCAAAATTATTTCCTCGCTCGAGTTTGTGACGTACGAGGTGTTAAACAAAATGTATAAACACAAGAACGAGTATTTGACAGTTACTTATCCTTGACAGGACGATAATGCATCATCATAATAGACCGTGATCCGACAAAATCAATCAAATCTCGAAAGTCTACTAGAAAGTGTAATAATTCAGATGATTTTAGAGCTAGAAGAAAAGAAAGAAGAAAAAAACAATAGAATCTAGAATAAATTTACTACTTTGAGTATTCTATAAATGAGTTTCTATAAATGAGTGAAATCCACGTCCCAGCAATAATAAATCTTTTTAAATTTGATAACATAAAGTAACGATAAATAATTGTGAATCATTGCGTTGATAGAAGAAATAATCAAATTTGGGCAAAATTGGGAGAAATTAACAGAAAGAAGACGTCTCGACGGTTATCGAGACAAAGGGACGCGTTTTGCGCGCAGCTCGCGGAAACGGTGGCGCACGATGGCCACGAAGCCACAAAAGGAAAAGTTGAATGCGAAATGTCACGGGGCGACCGCGATACGAGCCGCTGCGTAAAGCAAATTTCCTCGCCTCTGTCGAGGACAACGGCTCCGGCCTTTATGCCATCGGCCATGGCAACGTTTCGCCGGAACAATGCCCGTTATACGTCTCGATTTCGCCGCTTTGTCGATTCTACGTGTTCCCGCGCGAGCAGATAGAGCGAATCTGCACGGAAAATCGTGACATCTCTCGCGAAGGCTCTGCACCTCTTGCCAGAAATCTACGAAACTTCCATCGCCGATTTTCTCGCGTGTTTGCCTTTCGATACTTGCGCGCAATTCCATGAGTTTCGAGGAAACGTACACGACGGTTTTTGTAATAATCCTCGTTTCGATCTCCGTGTTCTTTATTTTTTACCCTCAAAACTCTGAAATTCCCTTTCTGCTTGAAATTGGAATGAAAAATTCAGAATTAAATTCCTGGATTTTGATTGTAGTTTGAGGATAAGACTTCGTGCTTTTTTTCTTTTTCATTGAAATTTTTGAATTTTAGTTCTAAGTTATTAACTGCCTCGAGGAATAAAGCGTAGTTTCAATCTCGTGTTTCTCTATTTTTTTTTTTTTTTTT